CTCAATTTCTACATGGCATTTTTTAAAAGATATCCCTGTGGGTTAATGTGTCTTTCCTTCTTTTGGTTTAACTGGTGAAAGATTAAGCGCTAACCTTGATTTTTCAATTTATTTGTTAGTTGAACAAAAGGTCTTTGTTTCAGGATGTTGAGGACAGCATACATTTCCCACAGAGCAGGTGAAAGTCCACCTCCCATTGGCTTATAACAGGATTAAAGAAACTAAACTCCATGTATACTTATGAGAGGTGGGTGGTCTCCAAGAAAGGTAGAAGCTACCACTTCTTTTATGACACTGACCAAAAATCTGAATTTTAGACAAGACGGATGCTGAGGAAGTTGTTGTTAGTGTTTTATGAAAGTCCCAGTTCTGTTCCTGGAAAATCTGGTCTCTGCCACAGGATCTGCCACTTTATCCTTATTGACATCTTCAGAGCGGCCAGAGGCAGACAAAATTCATTTACATCCCAGGGCAGCTTGCTTTGCTGTACCTGACCTGCGTATAGATTGCAGGCTGGTGCATGGCTAAGGTCCGTCCATTTGACATCTATAGAAACTTCATTGGGAAGGGAGGGCCTTGTCATGTAGTATGAGTTGTCAGCACCATCTGTTAATGCACCTTCCCATGTAAGGATGCCTTAGATGCTTTGTCCGCATTCTCCTCCACTGCCTGTTGATAAGAGAGAAGGTGTTTGGGGCCTTCAGATTAACCTTTCACTATCTGTGTGTTTTATGTTTCCTAAAAGCACTCTGCAGAGTAGTCCTGCTTAGGGAACTCCGGATGTTTCACTTGTGAAGTAAGGCATTTCATTGAACTGTATGTTCTGCCAGAGGGGCATAGCCCTGCTCAGAGCAGATCATTGTGTGCAGAGGAGGGAGGCCATGGGCTGGCTTTTAAGGCAGATGCTAAAGCCAAGAAGCAAGCAGGTAACGGGGTGCTCTGTTGGTTTGAGCTGTACATAGCGCTTCTGGAGGATTAAAAGTTAGCAGTGTGTTTGCTGTTCAAAAAGGAGGCATCAGCCACCCACACAGTGGTTCTTCTCTTGGATGCCACAATTAAGTGTCTGCAATTTAGTTGGCTACTCATTTAGTGAAGGGGATGTCTCTTCTTTGATATTGCTGAAAAGTTCTTAGTGCATGTGTGTGTAGGGAGAACAAATGCTTGTTCTTTGCCTTTTTCATGCTTATGAGAGTAATCAGAAGCAGACATGACAGGTATTCAGCAGAGTGGTTTTGAGTTAAATTAATTAACTTACTGGATTCATACACATTGGTGTAATTGAACTGTGGCTCTCTGTACTGTTACACTTAGGCATGTTTCCAAAAATGGTAAGGGTTTTAGTGATCAGTAGCTGAAACCATGAAGTGAGAGTATTCACTTCAAAATTTTTAACTGGGAGCACAAAACATTTTTCTTTTCAATTATGGCACGCTTCATGGACTCAAAAGTTTTTTCTCTGCGGAAGTATGGTTGGTGGTACTGTTCAGCCCTCTGACCCTTCACAGAGCCAGCCATGCTTTGTCTAATACATCAATTTATCACAAGCAAATGCAAGAAATGTTTTGCATATCAAAATAAATTGCTCACTAGATTTTCAGTGGCCCAGTAAAACACAACTAAGGAAAAGAAATTCCAAGAAGATTAAAATTCATAATGCTCTAGAAAATCACATTCTGTTGGTGACACCATTTCTTAGGAAGTTTAAAACAGAGCTGCTATTTTAGTTGAAGATTTAAAGCTTGCACATTTCTGATTTCCTCTTAAATACAGTGTATTTTCTTTTCGTTAATAGAATCAATTTGATGTAATGTTATTCTTCATATCTATCTAAGCTCAGGAAGCATGAGGTTTTGTATTTCAGTAATGAAGAAAAATGTTTCCAGAGATGTAAAAGGTACAGTACAGCAGGGGGAAAATTGATAAGAGTTCAGTAATCTCTCTTGCTTTCTGAAGGGTTGGCATTGTAGTCATGCTGGCTGTAGAGGCCTCTCTTCTAAAAGCTGTATGCCCTGGTTTTCATGAAACCACTTGTCATTGCTGTGGCTGAATGGTTGTATACGTGGGGTTGTGTTCAGATGAGTTTAGGTGGATTTTTTTGTTGTTGTTGTTGTGTTACAAAATCAGTAATTAACTGCTGGAAAAGCCAGTTGGGTTGTAGACTGTTCTATACTGACTTGGAAGGAGGGAGAGTTTAGTTTTCCAATAAACAGCACCTCTGTTTTGTTTCAGTAAGGTTGAAGCACTTCCTTTGAGCAACATGCTTTCATTTCAGACGAAAGGCTTCAGAAATTTTTTCATCAAGAGTTGATTAAATCGACGTTCCTGACAAACATAATGATTTCACTAATTCAGCATTTTCCAGTGGAAAACTATTCCGTCAGAAATTTAAACCAGATCTGGTAGCTAGGAACACAGACACTGCCAGAGTTTTTAGCTTTTTCCTAGTAGCTTCACAAGCATTTAAATAAAATTACTCTTGCTTCTGTATAGGTCCTTATTTTCTTCTGAGTTACAAACTGACTTAATGAAAGATTTAATTATTTAGGTGTTGATGCCAGAGCATTCAAGGAAATAATGCACAATTTCAGGCATAAGGTTTTGTAACTCCCACTGAAGACAAGATGAGGAAAAGAATTTGGCATTTACCAATGTTGGCAATTGGATTTTAATACGGTTTCAAAATAGATTGAGATTGTGGAAGTTATTTGACCATGTATGCATGTTTTTGAGGAGGCTTAGCTTTAAGTTATATTCTAAATGTGTTTGGGACTAAAGTGAACTAAAGCAAAAAAAAAGTGAGTCAGGACTAAAGGACTGGATGTTTGTATGTGTTACTCTTATCTATATATTTTCTAGGTAATTTTACTGATCAGTGGGGATTACTTTTTAAAGACTGAGAGATTTGTTGTTTACTGTAATGTGGATTCATTTCTATTAAACAAAATGCAAGCAGAGGGGTGCAGTGGAAGCTTAAACAGCAGAGATTCAGGAAACTAGTTCATTTCTAAAAACCAAATATCAAAGGAAATGTGCTTTTGTGCATTTTTGAAAAGCAAGCCCTTATTACATCAAAGGTAGAGCAGCTACCTAAAAGCTCTTTAAGCTTTAGTTTAATGGTCCATATAATGGGAAACATTAAATTTGCTTTAGCATTTATGCCTTTAGTGTTTCCAAACACAGGTCCCAGTTCTGCCAGCACTTCATGGATGTTTAAAGTTTAGCATATGAAGAGTCCCATATGTCTGTCACAGGAAAATAACAAAACATTGGTTTGAAGGAGTCCTGGGCTAGAAAAGAATTCTTTCCAAATTAAGTTGAAAGTACTTCTGCATACACCTGTGTATGGAGATCAAGGTAGATTTAGGACTGTTAATGTCTTTGTGTAGAAAAAAAAAAAAAGATGTTAAATACAATAACCCTCATCACCACTACCACAGGGTCTCCTCTGCTCCAGCATCATAACATGCTTACTTGATTTTCATAGTTCCTGCAATACAATACCAGCGCAGGGAATTTGTCAATTGAGAAGAAGGGAAGAGATGGAAAGGGGAACTTTTTAATGGGATATTTTCTGCCTTAGTGTGGGTTGTGAATATGGATGCCACCTGACAGAAGAACTGATTTCAGTAAGTGGAAGGGAATTTTATGTGGTGGACATAATCCTGCATTGCTAACAGATGAGTGACACTGCTAGAATACAGCCTGGAATATTTCACACAGGAAGAAACAGCAGAAAGAGATTTCTTGGATTTAGAAAGTAGAAGTACTAAAAATACAAGTAATGCTCATTTGATCATCTTGTGTCTGATGCAACTGCTAGATGTTTTCCTTTCATTCCATAAAAAGTCATAAGAAAATAAAGACAACCACTGTTATATTCATTCTTACGGGGTTTTTTTAATATTGAAATCCTTTCCCAGGAGATGATAAATGTGGCAGTTTGCACAGCATTAGGTTGAGAACCTCAAATTGCCCCAATGCCCCCCTTCCCTCCCTTCCCCTCTAGAGGATTCAGCAGCATTTGGCAGAGTATCAAAAAGCAATGCAAGCCCTTAAAAATGTCTGTACCTTTGGGGTTACTAGAACTAGTATCTAGTAAGGCTGAAAGTGGTATAAACAGCACTGTTTCCCTGCAGTATTTTTTTAGCTTATTCTGGAGCACAGACTACTGTTGATTGCTGCCCTGTAGTATCACATTCAGTTCTTCCCTTCTGTCTCTCAGAGCTGTTTATCGCCTGCACTGTGCTGCTTATTCCTGCCTATTTTCACCCTGCCTTTTGCCTTAGTGTCCTGCTACCTTACACCTACCAGTCCTGTGCAATCCATCATTTTACCTTCTGTACTTTAACAAGCCTTGTAAATATGCAGCTAAATTAATCTTCCTTTGCAGCTCTCCTCTTTCTCTTACTACCTATTGATCAATCCTCAATGCATCCCTCTCTGTTTTTATTGCTTTGTATCCTTTGTTTGTGGGGTTATCTGATATTTAAATTATAACAAGGTAAAGACTATGCTCTCTTGCTTTGTGTAAGTACATGGTGTGCTCAAAATGTTTAATATTGTGTCTTGCATTAAAATGTATAAGCTCAAACTCTCTAGCGATGTCGATACTAAGAATCTTACTAAGACTAAAGGAATAAATGGAGGAGATCCCTGTTGTTTTGTTTGTGCATCTATATTGTGCCTATTGTTCTGGGATGGAATTTTAAGGGGTATTTGTTTGCCATAGGACGTATCAGAATAATGATTGGAAACAGTTACAATTTCTCTGGAAACTTTGACAGCTGTTTCCTGGCCCTAATTGAAGGGTATTTTTATATTCTTTGTATTGTGCACCATAGCCCGTGGTAAGTGGAGGTGAGTCATAACTTCACTGCCTGAAGTTTGTAGGAATTTTTTTCCTTCTCATATTGAAGAGTGTCACTCATTTTTTTTTTTTCTTCTGGTCTAATTTGAAGGAATTGAGTAAAAGAGAAGTTAACCTTTGTGTATCCTTGCAGACTTTGCCATCTAGAGATGCCTCCTTTCTGTATAAAACTCAGTTACCATGCATGATGCCAGCCTCCGCTTTCAGCAGTAGTGAGTACAGTGCGGAATCTAGAATACTAGATTATGTGCAAGAGCTGGACTCTTCCTTCCATCCAGTTTTATCATTCCCTTCAGGTAAGTAACTCAAATGCGATGCCTCTAACTGAGGGTGATTGTGCTTGTGAGAGCTTTAGAGTTTATGGGTTAACTTTTCTTTTGAGTGATTTTTAGAACTTAGTTCTCTTACAGAAGACCTCACACTGGCAAAATACACGAGTTTAGACCAAACGAAAATCTTAACTTCATCCTGACATTTGAACAATATGCCTTCTAGATTTCCCATACCAGTAATGTGATTACAACAAAGAAAAACTGGTCAGGGGAACTTTTTTGGTTAAGGTGGGTTTTGTGTGTTTCATGGCGTGTCTAATGAGTCAGTGTTAGTCCTTTAGATGGTGCTTTTGCCAACACACTACCATACCTTGGTTGCATTGTTTTCATGACCAACTTTTAGTTCAGGCCGAAAAAGTTTTATTTAGTTTTTCCAATTGTTTTTGTGATAGTCAGCCTTTTTGGTGATCTTTGAAGTTCATGGTTTCTGTCATCTGATTCTTTAATGTTTTTGAACGATAATGCAGATGTTTTTTCTGACTCTTTATTAGCCCTGAAACTAGTGCAGGTGCAACTTGACAGCACTTTGTGCTTCAAAATAGCGTATTAAGTGCTCTTGCCAGCAGGAGGGATTGGATGCCAGCAGGTAAAATTGGATTTTGGGTTGGTGGGGTTTATTTGTTTATTTTAGGAAAAACCTATTGCCAGGTAGTTGCTGACCAGTACAGGAATTCTGCTGTCCTGTGGGGCTGCTTTGCCACAAAATAATCCTGAATGTGAGGCTAGGACTTCCTGGAACTCCTTGAGTCTTTAATCAAATGCGCAGTTTTCCCAGTGTGACAGTGTATAGACTCCACCCTGGTATTAGGAAGTCAAGGGTTAAAATAAGTCTTGGTTTGGAGAACTTGTCACTGGCCAGGAGAGAAGACCCAAGTGCAGACATGGAATTCTGAGAAGGTCTCAAGTCTTGCAGGTTTACAAGGGTCTACATCCCGTGTATGGGATAAAGAGGAGTTCATTTTGAGGAGCAGATAGGGGGAAGAAAACACTCACTCCAGGAGTGCAACAGCAAACATCCCAGTCAGCAGGACTGTGTCGTGAAGAGGAGAGAAAAACACTTCTTAAATCTTTCTTCTTTACACACAGTCTCCATCACTTACCCTGTGACCGTGACAGCCCAGCTGGACAGGAGCCAGGGGGGTTAGACGGTAGTTCCCAAACCCCTGCAGAGAGGTGTCCCCACACACTTCTTGGGTGACTGCCAGCTTGTCTCACTAATCAGATTGTTTCCTTGCTTCTGCTTCCACGCAAGGTTCAGTGTACCACAGTGTGTATGTTTTGGGGTGGGTTTTTTAAGTGTTTCTTTAGAAGTCTGTTCAAGGATAGTCATGGCCATGGCCCTTGCATTTATTCCTACCTTACTTTTAAGGGAGACTAGGAAGTTTAACAAGAATATTGAAATATTCTTTCCTTGAAAAAAAGACTAATCATCATGGAAAGAAAAAAGCTGAAAAGCTTTGGATTGCATCGTGGCTACTGTTGGTCACTTTGCCAGGATGGAGGAAGAGAAATGTTATTTTAGCTTAATTCTGGTATCAAGAACATCTTTCTTTTGAGAAATATTTATTCTCTTTTCAAGCAGCCTTAGCCTTGCTAATAATAGTTGAGAGAGGAAAAAAGTGCTAGACCTACTATCTCATGCTCAGATGCAGTCCTTGCTCTTGAAGGAGGCTACATTCATGGTCCAGTCCGTGCTTTGTGTACTTTGCTGTCTCTAACTCTTCGTGAAGACCACTAGTCTACTTGTCATTTACTTTCATATGAAAGAATTATCATGAATAAATGCATGCTAGAAATTTTCCAACTTGGTCAGGTAGCCAGTTTCATGTTTTCTTTGTGGCTTCCTTAATTATCCCTTTCCAGAGGGATAACTTCTCTTAAACGCTACTTGTGGTGTGCCAACATCTTTTACCAGTTTCTTCTGAATAAAAATGTTCAGCAGTGTAGAATAGTTCTTTGTTTAATTTCCTCTGTTTTTCAAAAAATATTACTGGTATTTGTTCCATTTTGAAACTCTGGAAGTTTGATTTTTCAGTGTGTGAGGAGGGATTCAAATTCAAGATTCAGATCTTGCTCTCTCTTGTTCCTATTTTTTCCTTTCAAAGGAGAATCACAGTTTGCAAGCAACATAGTAATATAATGCAGTGGGACCAGCTCACTGGTGTACAGGCTTCTGGAAGTATAATTGTCCTTATGGTTGTAAGTCTTGGCTTCAGATTTTCTGTATTGCCAAGGGCCTTGACCAGAAATATGTCAGTGGTTGCAGCATCCCTTGAGCATAAAAGCGCCTCTTTAAACTTGCATCCCGATAACTGGAAAATTGTAGTTTGCATCTAAGAAGTTTGGGTTTCTGGTATTTCTGCACCTGGCCCGCAGATAAACCAGAACAAACGCTGCTGCCTTTTTAATTGAGGTACAGGAGCACATAATAAAAAGTCTCTGAGACATCCAGGTCGTTCCCCTGGAAAAGAACAGGAGAAATGTTTTGTTTATTTCTTCACTTAAATGTTATGACTAATAAACCTTTCAGACCTACTTTGTTTTACTCAGAAGTAGAATAGGAAACACAGCAAAAACCTTGGGGGGAAACAACCTTTTCAGGATGCCTGTAGTCTTATGACAAAATACCTGGTTAGGTCGTTATCAAGTTGAAATAAATTATTCTTTTTAGTTAGCAATACATTTTGAAAGTTCTTGTCCAGGCATGTCCTGAAGGCATATGAGGCTAAGGTTATATGTGAATAAAGAGTTTAATGCCCACCCTTTGGCCCTGCTCTTAGACCTTTTCTCATTCTGAACACAGTAGTCATCAGGCCTGCTTCTGATCTTGACATATTTCTTTCTACTTAATTTCTCTTCTTTCTTGTAATGTTGTTTCCGGAAAGGCTTTTCAGGCAGAGACCTATTTTTCTTAAGCCTTCCTGCCTTACAACAGTGGGTAAATTCCTTGCCACTTGAGATGTTTTGCAGACTAATTCTTGGTTACCCTCGGGAAATGAATTACATTGCCCTGCTGCAGCCTTTGCCAGAGAGAAAAAGAAGGAATGTACCTTGAATTACCTCTAGGCTCCCAGCAGTAACAATTTCCAAAAGCATTAATTACCTGTACCCAAAAGGCTGAACTGAAGGCTTTTACATTACATTGTGTCCTCTCCGCTGTGCAGGGTTTTGTGCAGAAGCTAGTCAACAGGGCAAGACCCCAATCTTACTCTGACTTGATACCCTCCAGAGCTTGTTTTTGTGAAGAACATTCTGGAGTAATTGCAGGTTTGGGCATAGTTTATTCCAGAGTAAAACAACCTTGCTCTTTCTTAATTTGACTTTGAACACCAAAAGAAGTACTGTTAATCTACTAAGTGTGTGTGCCTGCACTGGAATTTTTTCAGGAGTGTTCCTCAGGTTTGAGTCCTACCTTGATCTCAGTTGTCATGTCAGCCCTTGGAAGCTTTTAGTGCTGGAGAGCTTGGAACCACTTAAGCATACTGCCTTGGTCAGCACATATGGCACTGTAGCTTCGCAGCTAAAAATGGATTTGTTCTTACCATGCTGTAACTTTTATTTCCAGTTAATAGAAAGATAGGTACCTTGAGATCTTACCTACGGACAATTACTGAAGTTTATCTTGTATACTACTTAGGTAACAGATAGAAAAGACTGCAGGTCTTTGCCTATAGTGAAGGATAGCAGTCATACAGTAACTATCTTGCTGAGAATTACCTTGCCTCAAATTTTCTTGTTTACTCATGCAAAAATCACTTATTTGAAATGCCTGGCTGGTCTTTTTTGGGATATCGTCATCAAGTTTTCCTTTGGCTCTCACCAGTTTGAGGACACGTTTTCCTGTATTGTCTTCAGCCTGACCATGTGAAGACACTGCTGCTATATAGACAAGCAGTCAGTCCTTGCAGGAGTTACTCAGCACTGCTGTTCTTCGTGAGTTGAAGAACTCAAGGCAGCAATGTTGCTTGTAGATTATATTACATAGTGTTGTGCAATCGATTCCTAGACCTTTAGTGATGATGCATAATTCATTGGCTCATAGGTTGCCATCTTTCTGATATAGACTGCATTCCCTTTGGATTTCTTTTTTTAGATATTCCTCTTCACATATACTTTGAAACATTATTAAGGAAGGATGACATCAAAGGAGATCCTGTTGATACCTCATCTTTGGGAGTGGAGTTTAAAGTATCTCCAGACAATGGTATGTAAAACAAAATATTTTAGCATTTGCAAGACCATTTTTCATTCATTTGCCAGTACTTTATGCCCTAAAGAGGTTCAGTTTATAAACTTAGCACAAAGCAGGTTATCAGAGAAGGTAACCGGCTAAGGCTTTAGGTGGAAGAGGAATCTCTTCCCAGACCACGGTGTCAGGTTCTCCTTTGTTGCACTGAAACGATCCCATCAGAGCCGTAGGAGGGCAGTAATACAAGTGGGTGAGGGGAGTTTGGACCATGGGTTTTCTGCAGACATGGGTTCCTGACTGCAGTACTGTTTACTATTTGGATTCCTATCAGAAGTCTGTTTTCTTCCATTATAAATAGTTCAGCAGTTGAGATTGCCTGTAAATTGCACCAATGGAAAATAAGTTTTCAACTTGATACATGCTTTTTCTGTTATAGACTATAATCAACATAATGTTTCTGTCAAACAATGGAGCAGTGGCTGTTTATCTAATTCCAAGTCTCAGTCAGTGTCAGGAATATCTGACCAGCTGTCAGAAGGAAGAAAGAAAAGACATCTAAGTGAGACAGCAGTAGGTAAGAGAAAAATGGTATTATTTAAGATGGCACTACTTTTTTAACAGTACTGTATAAATTAGTTATCACTGGGCTTTGAGAATTAATTTTAAGTTGTTTCCAAAAAGGATACTGTATGAAACTTTACAGGAGCGAAGAAATGGACTTACGACACCGTGAAAATAATGTGCTATTTTAAAGCATAGTCATCTTTCTCTTTCTTCTCGAGTATGTATTACAAAATGAGACAAGCTTCTGTATTTTATTTTTGGAATACTCTTAAAGGAAACTGCTCAGCAGTCCAGCTGTGTTTTTCTAATACTGGCTGTCATTATTTTTAATACGAAGGGTTGTTTTTTTTTTTATAGTAGTCAGTGAAACAGACTGAATTGTGAAGTTATCTGTCAAATCATGTGCCCAACCAAACATTTACTATTTCTGGCATCTTTGGTCAGCTATGTTTCATTTGTTGTATACTGTCGGTTGTGGTTCTGGTTTCCTTCCAGACTGTTAAGAGGATTTGTGGGTAGCCAGTGCTTATAATTAATGTTTTCACCCTTGTTATCTTTATATTTTAAGCCATTGAATCTCCACTTCAGCATTAAGTAAGTTAATAGAACGTGCCCTGAAAGTTCTGTAGAATAATGTGATAATTTAGGGACAAAAAATTCAGCATACCATTGTAAAGATAAATAGCATCTTGCCTCTCCAGGTAAAACCTAACAGATTCTGTTACAGATTCATTTATGTGAACTTTTGGAAAACTTTTGGCAAAATCCTCGCAAGGCAGTTGAAGAAAATAAATTACTGAGTAAGAGGACAAACTGTGTTAGTTTAAAATTTCCCCTAAGAAAGAATTAAAATATGTAAATGATCAGTTAACATTGTGGAAAAATACACTTCTGTGGCGTATTCAGGTAAAACTGCTAGTGTCATCTTGCAAATAGAGGTGGAGATCGGGGAATTACTGCAGAGATGATTTAACAAAAAATAATAATTATTTAAAAAAAAAAAACAAACTAAAAATACCCCAAACCATAACCTCAAACCAAAAAACCCTATTGATTAGAAGGTTACAGGAGAGAGTAAAAGATGGTTTTGGACAGGCTGAAAGCTGTCTCTGATGTAGATTCATTTTTTTTTTCTCTGCATCCCCTTGTGCGTTACAGTCCTCCCCTTTGCTGCACAGTCTTCTCTTATGCTCTGTGCCTGTCTCGGGGGGGGCTGTGCCCCGTCCCCTCTCACCATCAGGTGTTTTTCCGTACCACCCGCTCCCCTAACTGGTCGCCAGTCCCCAAAAGGCAGATACTGACACAGCGTTTCTTGGAACCACATTGTTTCCCTAAGTGTAGAGTCATGCACAGTGAGATCAGCAACCGGAGTTACTTGGGAGCACTAGTAAGAGGGAAAACTTCTTTCTGTAAACCCTTTGAAGTTACAGTTAGTCTTCTGCCAGTAGTATTTAGTTCTTTGAGTTAATGGAAGGAAAAAAGCAATCTTATCTCATGAGGATCCTAATTTCCCAATGCCAGAAAACTGCTATGTGGTGTGTTCATGAGCAGCAGCAGTTCTAGCTTATTAGTGCTATGGGTGTAGTACTACATATTTATTCCTAATTTGGGCTCTGTCTAGGAGAAATTATCCATGGGGAAGGTCAGCCTGATGAACAAGGCCAAAAAGAAAAGCTGTGTGCCAAGGAGTTACAGAGCTGCCTGGGAGATGAGAGTTCATGTCCTTGACCCAGCCTGTACAATAGTCTTTAGGATCAGTCTTCTTCTTCCATGTTGGAATACACTGATTCTTTGTATGAGTTGGTATATTAGATCTGAGTTCTTTTTTCTTATTGGAAATTAAGGTAGAAGGAAAGTAGAACACAGGGTGTTAAATTCTGACTCCCCCTAAGTGCTGCTTACACTGGGACTGAATAAGAGTAAGCAAGTATTGCTATTTGTCTGGAGCAGTGGACCACATGGAGATCTAGAAACTAATTTTATTTGTTACCCTTGCTGCCAGTTTTATTTTATCATTTATCAAGGAAGAAACAGTCAGGGAGGGCTTAGTGCACTGGTACGTTAGTGAGCTGCAGCCCAGCTAGGGAAGCACTGTTAGGGAATGCTCAGGAGCGTTCCTCTAAGTCAGATTGCGTTTGCTGTGTGTGTAGTCTATGGCAGCTTCAGAAAAAAGCAGCGGGATTTGCCCATACAAAGCTGGTTCCACAAGAAGAAATCCTTCATAGAGGAGAGGGATGAGTTTTGTGGAACAACAATGACAGGATGAGTAACAAGTGTTTATTTAGATGGCTTTTTTTAGTATTCGTTAAATTGTAAGTGGTTAGCTGCGGGCTTCTAGAAATGACTTTACTATTACTGTATGGAAAAATATCTTTAGTCTAATAGACAACAGCTGGTATGCATTTTTTTTATTATTACTTTTTTGTGACAGGCGAACGTAACGCTAGGTTTGAGACATTCTCCTTTCAACATGCAGAACCAGAGTCCCATAGCAGTTTTGCTGCTGTGACGAATGTCAATGCGATGTCTAGGTCCACTCACAGCACTTCATCACAGGTAAACCAAAAATGTAGCACTGTCTTAACTGAAATATCAACAGTTGTGCAAAATAATAATGCAAAACCACATGCCTCTTAGATCTAATTTAGTGTTAAATTACAGTACAGAGCATTTTTACAGTGAATTAAGTGGATTTCATTAAGTAATTTCTTCCAGATTGAGTATGTGGTGTTCCTAAACCAGATACTTGCTTGTAAAAGAATTTTGCAGATCATATAACTGGAGTGTAAGTTTAGTTTATTGGCATTGGGCCTTTCTTTTTTTTTTTTCCAAATTTTATTAAATATACAGTGATTTATGTTCCCAATCTTTACACAAGGGCTCTTATGACTCTTTTTTTTCTTGGTGCAGCTACATAAAATGGCCTCACAGTGCAAATATAGTCACATAATTTGTAAACTTTCAGCATCACCATTTAAAACCTTTTGTGCAGAATGACAGGCAAAGTCTCTGGTATATAAATTTGCTGAGGAGCAGCACAGCTCTGGTTCAGTGAAGTTCCTGCAGAAACACACTTTGTTTTATTGGAATTCATTGAGAATTTCATTATAATATTCAGATTTGAGTACCACAGTTCTGCTAAGCCTAGTGGTATGCTGGTGGTCTGTAAGTCATCATGTTTCAATCTGGTGACGACTCCTGGAGAGCTGAGTTTAACTGTGTCCCAAACGCAGCTTTGACGATGCACACTCCTCCTTTTTTCCCTTGCTTGAGCAGACCATCGTCAAAAAACATCTAAATGACCATTTTAAATAGACTGCTTCCATTAACGTTCAGCTAAAAATTGAGATCTTAAAATACAGAATGTATCATGATTTAAAACTAAACTTTCTCCTGTAATCTAGGAACTTCAGTTTTTGACCCATGTAGGTTCCATGCACTAGTGGGCAGAGAATACCAACAGGAATCCTACTATGATCATGGCAAAGAAATTCAGTTTCTGACTTTTGCACATCTTTCAGAAAACCACTTCCCATGTAGGCTGTTCTTCACTGCTAAATGTAGCTTCATTCTTTTGGAATTCTTAGTTGTATCACACTGAAGAACTGCTTGGGTTATGGGTTAGTAGATGGATTATAGAAGGTCGTCTTTGTAGACTGAACATTACGAAGAAGTCAGCATTAACTTCAAAGTTCTCATAAGTATTCAGAATTAACTGTAACTGAAATCAAGGAGGGGAAACTCCCACTGATTTCAGTAAGAGTTAGGCCAGCAAGAAGTAAATCTCAGAGATTAGATAGTTTTAAGATTTGTTGAGATTCCATTGGTGTGGGGGTGGGGAGGGGGGAGGAGGTCAGAAGTTATTAAGCCACTAGAAAATGTGTTCAAGTTACAGACTTTCTCCTGGTGCAGTTCTAATGTTTCTCAGCTAACGTGTAGTTCCTACGATCTGAGCTGATGAATTTCCTCTTGTATTGATTGTATTATACAGCATAACTCCAGGAGGAGGTTGAGAAGTGAGAGCTCCTATGATATAGACAACATTGTTATTCCCATGTCGCTGGTGGCACCGTCGAAGTTGGAGAAACTACAGTACAAAGAAATCCTTACCCCAAGGTTTGTTCATGGCCTCCTTAGTTGTGAAGAAGATACCAAAATGAACATGAGAATTAAGAATGTCATTAACATGTAGTTAGAAGATTTTATAATATTAAGATGATCTTTTCATGTGCTTGGGTTTTTTTTTCTGTGCAGTAAAATTTGTGTGACTGGAGTGTTGGGAAGACTGGACAGCTGATAGCACAAGGCAAATAGTCTGATACATACAGGGAGGTGCCAGATGCACAGACTGGCTAAAAATAGAAGTGGGTTTATATCGTCTTAATTGTAGTGATGTGGCCTTAAATGTGCCATTAGGCTGACATGAACAGTTATTTGGAGGCTGCTGTCTTTTTTGTGTGTTATGGTTCATAAGAAAATAGTTAACTCTTTTCAGTGGATTAAACAGAAATGGTTTTAGCATATATTTTAAAAATTCTGATTTTTTAATCAGAAAATATTCTGATATATTTTAAAAATTCTGATACAGTAGAATAAGCTTAATTTTTTCCATACGGTATAAACCTATAACCCATGATTCTAGAGATACTTCTGGGCTTTTGTTGGTGGTTTGTTTAGGGGTTTTTTGTTTGGGTTGGGTTTTTTTTTTTTAGAAAAAGAACATCTTTAGATTGCTAAAACAGGGTAATTGATCTCCTGTGCTGTGGCTTACTTCAGTGGCTTACTAGCAAATTGCCTGAAATAGCTAAAAGCAGTTGTTCCATATTTTAAATTTCTGTTTTGTATTTGTTTTTATATCGTCTTCAAAGTTAAAAATATTATTAAGACTTATTGGATAGTTTAAAGACTGTGTTGGGAAAAGAAAAGGTTAGATACTGGGTTGGGAAAGGAAAATCTAAATTTCAGGCATCTTTTATCAGCACCTTAAATTTGAAATTATTTTATTTGAAAGAAATTTTGAAGCACAAGCAGTGTCGAAGAAAGAGTAGCAACATAATGAAACAGCATTTAGGTAAATTAATTTTATTTTCCTTGTCTCATTTCTAGCTGGAGAGTTGTTGAATTTCAACCTTTAGAAAGATCTGAAGCAGATGAAGAAGAGGTAGGCTGTATTTTAATTAAACTACCAGTTTTTAATTAAAATAGGTATAATATGTAATTTGGATAATTGGCATATATTTTCCAAAGTCACTGACTTCATGCAAATCCTGGTAAGTTTCAAATTCCAAAAATAAAGTATCAAGTTGTGAAAATGTGTCTTAACCCAACCCACTCGATTCTATGGTGGATAACAGAAATGTGAGTATCTCCATTAATAACCACTGTTCATTTATTTGTTTGTTTGGCTTTACTATCCCTTGCTGTCGGCACAGTCAATGCTCCGAAAGGGTCCCTTTGGTCAGGCCTCCACCTCTCCTGCTCCTGGGCACCGTGGTGCTGGGTCTCCCAGTGTGACCATCTCTTCAGGGCTACCTGTGCTATAACGTCTGTCCTCTCTCATCCTGTTCTTCATGGCCAGTTCCTGTGGCCTGATGCTCTTCAGGAGGTAATTTGGCATTTTGCCTGTGGGCCCAGCAGGTTTTCTCAGTTTTCTTCTCAGTGTTCATTGTCCTGCAACCCTCCTGTTGGGAGCAAACTTTTCTTCTTTCTGCTTTGTCAGGAACAACATAACCTTCAGCATTTCCTGCCTGCCTGTTGAGCTAAGTGCACACATCATGTGCTACTACTGTTGCTTCTTCCAGGCATAAGAATCTACCTTTTTCTTCCAGGAAGTGTCCATGGACTTTGCAGCTGGGGGTTCCTTTCTCCTCTGATCAGGGGTTCAAGGCATTTCCTAACCCCAGTGCGTATGTACCAGCAGGTCTGGTGTCTAGGCTGGTTTTCTGTCCTTCCAATATTTTTGTGGCTCCTTTTCCAGAACCTGCCAGTTTTGCTGTCCGTTGGACATCTCTAATCTCCCTTCAATCTCTGCTATAGGCCACTATCTGCTGTTGTAATGTAGGACTTGTATTCTTCCCTTCCTCCACAATACCTGTTCTTGAGCTCCTTTTTCAGAGAATCTCTACAACCGGGGTTTAAGTGCCTTAGTAGTAGAAAAAGCTGGCATTTGGGTAGCAGTACAGAAGGTTATGCTAAACACAGTGAACAAATGAAATCATTATGCCTCTCCCCTCGGATAGAAAATACACTCTCCACAAAGGCGCTAGCTTCCTCAGGGTTTTACCAGGTCTGTAGCTGCCTGCTCCATGAAAATGAACCTTTCCTTTCGGAGATCGTGATCTCAGCTCCGTACCTGGTGTAGTTTCACTCACTTGGCACCATGCTCATGCGTCGGAAGGAAGAGGAGAAAAAGTTATCTGTCCCTGCCTTTTCTCATGACCTTAAGAAATTCTTGTGAAATCTGGTGGTCAGATTTGTGTCATCTCCACCACTGCCTTTTGGTTTGGTACTGTCTCTGCTAGCAGGAAACATGCCTGATCTTCTTTTATAGTGAGAAGGTCAAATTACATACACAGGAGAACTCTCCTGCAATGACATTAATTAAACCATTTGGGGAATAACTAATAAGATAATGAGGGCGCACAGTCCTTTGAGAACCTACTGTTCATTGCTCTCTCTTTCATCTTGGTATCTGTGGGGGAAAAAAAAAAGAATTTTAACAGTGATTTGCCTTCAGGGCTTCAAGGGACTTGCTTGGAGGACTCACTGGATTTCTTGTTTAGATTTCAGAACCCATACAGATGATTGTCTCGTGTGGTTTTAGTGTGTTTTGCTGAATGGACTTCAAGATGTCTCTCTGCGAAGTTCATGGGCTAATCATTCATTTAGTAGCCCTCCCAGTACATTTGTATTTGGCATGACTAGTTGATCCTGTATGATTCATCCTTTGGCCAGGAAATAAAACTTGAGTTAACAATAAAGCAGCTTTGCCTCCTGCAGTGGTCCACTGCTTCTGTATTGTCTGTCAGCTGCCGGGTAGAATGAGAGAGGAGAGATGTCAGACAAGAGAAAATGCTAAAGATCTTGTTTGTCTAAATCATCCTTTGCCAATTTTCCCCCTTTTTTTGGGATCATGTTAATTGGTTTGGATGTTTTTCAGAGTGCTGAGAAAAGGTAGTTGTCTGATCATAATTATTCCACTTCCTTGCTTTAGGTTTTAGGTGAAGTTAGATTTGTTACTGACTAAGCTTGAAAAAAGGCATGAGAAAACAGCAGCACTACATTTTGCATTTTCTGCACTCATACTCTGACACCCTTGAAATTGTTCCTTGTACTGAAATCAAGGCAAACTTCAGTAGATCACTTATGAAGGACAAGAGAGAGGGCAAAATGTAGTTTCTGCTTTTATATAAATTAAGTTTTTTCTTTGCTTTCCACTGCATAGCAGCCTGTGGTGATACTGTATAATAGGGGGTTTTCTACCTATCTTCTGCGTGGCTGAATTTAAAACTTCTGGAGCTGTCCTTGTGTCAACCAACAGTTAGAGATTTCTTCTACTTGATGTCTTTTTTTTTTTCTTCTCTCTTCTTCATTTAAAGGCTTTCAATGCAACAACCGGTATCCATGCAGTAGACTTGCACCCAAAGTTTCCACAAGTTACAAAAAAATGTGGTGTCCCAAATTTGTCATGTTCTAGAGGAGCCATAGTTCCAAAGATGAGAACTCAGCACTTTGTGTAAATCAGGCCTATTCACTGTGCCTTTATTTGAGTACAAAAAGCTTACCTTTTTTGGGTGCCTGATTTTTGTTTCTATAAATTTTGCCTTACAAGGACAAACACAACAGTTGGGCAGTGCAAAAGTTAATCTGCTATCTATGTCTGCTCTATTACTTGCTCTAAAAATACTTAGTTTTTGTACTAGAGTGTTTGAGTTTCCTGGTTTGCATGTATGAATTTGCAGTCTGTTACTGCTTTAAGGCATGGGAGGGTGTGGCACGGGTTTTCCTGTTTTATTTTGTTTTTAATTTGTTTTGTCCAGGTTAAAGTTTCTGGCAAGGCGTGGTTGTAAAGTAATGTTCAAGATTATTTTGTAGTTGTTTTAGTAATGACAAATACTTCAGAATAATTCTGTGTGTAATTAGTTTTGCATAAGTGTTTTCATGGCTTATGACTCAATGTTTCCCGTGAAGCCAAAGGCTGAAACACAGACTTTGTTGTTTTGAGAACTTTAAGAAATATTCCTAGGGCTGTTCAACATTAATAAACAGTGACTTGTAGCTTAACTAGATGTCATGGGGGGGATCCAAACCTTAGTTTGCTTTAAGTCTTTTTCGTTAGACATGCCTCACACACAGGCCTTCCTAATAGTCAACATCACTGCCAGATCCATCCACTGAGGAATGACAGTTCTTTTGTCTTTTTTCAAACTAACCTTGGCGGGGGGGGGAATATCAAATTTCTCCAGTTACAGCAACTTCAAATTAAGCTAAAGTTGGTGGAGGAAATACATAAAGTGTTAAAAGTTGGAGAGGGGCAGAGGCTGTACTGAACCAAGTAGAGACCTTCTACTGTGATGTAATGTGATTTTATCCATAGAACAAAGAATAATTTTTAAATTAAAAAATTTATTACTTGTTAGTCTTCAGTGGAATAGGGTAAAACTCACTTTAAATAAAAAAGTAGTTAAATCTGCTATCATCAGCTACGGAAAAGGAACAGTAAGGCTTATTTCTGTATTTTTCAAAACTCTTCGCTTGGAGAGGAACGCAGACTTTGATTTTCGAAAGGAATCTTGTTAAAAATGAAGTTTCTTCCCAGCATGAAAAGTTTTGGCAATTTGCTAAGAAAAGTATTTTCAAAGTCTTAAGTTTTTCTTTCAAAATTATCTTTTGTTTCCACTTCAAAGGAAATCTGAGCACACAGAAAAAATCCTGAATTTTCCCTGAGGGAATAGCACTTTTGTAGTTCATAAAATTCTCACTTTCACACTATACATCATTGACCTTGGGAAGACAGAATGTGAACTGAGATGCAGCCACGTCCTGATGCCATCCAAGTGACAGAGATGGTGAATTCCAGAGAGAGGAGGAAACCCATTAAGTTGGCTTGCATGAAAGGAAACCAGCAGCTAACAAAGTGGTTTGTGTTTAACATAAATAAATAAAAGCAATGAGGAGTCTTCAAAAAGCAGTCATGAAACGGGCAAACAAAGCAGGCCTGTTTGTCTGAAGGTTCCTGTTGAGTGTTGGGCTGAGGAGGAACTGGGCAGCCACAGTTTTAGCAAGCGGGTCATGTGGCCGTTCCAGATCGCGTTGAAGCCTTTGAGATCCTTTTCACTGGCTCAGTTAAATTTCATTGTGGGGCTGTAGTTCGTGACCAGCTGCCAAGGTTGGAACTGTGCTCTCTGGCAAGCTGAGTGCCACTATCAGCAGCATAAATGCATTGTAGTACTTTGCATTTATACCCGTAATGGTCATGGAACTACCTCAGCGCTGGGAGACTTGATGCAAAGAATGGCTTCTGCAGAAAACCTCAGGGCTGTTAGTTGTCCGGAGTACTTCCAGCTGACAGTGTAGCCTATATTGTCTGGCTCTATCTGGCACTGGCGTGAGGCCTCTGCATTTAGTTCTGTATTTTATCAGACTCGGATGGAAAATAAATGGTGTTACTTGTATAACACCACTGAAGATTTTGATTTATAGAAAAAAATCTATTTTTATTTTGCCATGACCCCCCAATTATTGGTATAATTTTTGTCCAGGACTGATCTGGCAGTGCAGCTTCACAGCTTCTATGACCAGGAACTGTTCTTTCCTAGAATTTCTCTGCTGTTGAGTTGGGAGTGGCTGGCATAAAATCCGTGGCTGGAGCACTTGTATGCTCTCGCCAACCTTAGCTTTTTAGGTGAACTTTGAAGAGGTTGAATGGTTTGGAGCACTTTGAAATAACTGAGCTGTGCTGGAGGGGTCCAGCAAGAGCTTGCCTTGCCATCTGGGGAGTGAGGGGGAAGGGCAGCAAAGTGCTCCTCGCCCAGCCGTGTCTGAGGAGCAAACTTTGTGGTGTGCTGCCAACAGAAAAATGAAGATGGCTCTTTCAAAGTGAAGGTCAGATGCGATAGCTACATCTGAGGAATTTTACCTAAAAAGCTGGCTCTTGTTTGACTATGAGCAGTTACGGTACTCACATTAGGGCCATTTTAAGCTGTACCGGGGTCATGCAAATTATTTGTTAAGAAATAGTCTCTTCAAAGCAGAAACCATTTTCTGCTTGGTTTCATAGCAGC